TTTAAATGAAATGTTTCACTGTTTGTCATCTTCTTTGCTGGGATCTGCGGATGACCAGAGATTTATCCCTGAGCAGTCCCCAGGTTTATTTAGAAGCATAACTCACTTGGCTGGGGGCCAGGGGGAAAGCTACGAATATTTTACGAATTTTGGTGAATTTTTATTAGTTATTTGAAAGGCATCAAGCTACCGTAAAATAGGCCCTACTTCATGCAAGTTTTTTAATGTCGAAATTAACTTCGAAAACCGAAAATTTTCCAATAAAACAACGAGAAACAAAGAGCATGCAATGTAGGCCTAACCAACTAACTTATTTTCAAATTCGTTTTCCATTTTATATTATTAAAAAAACACCATATTACATTACAATAATATCCTCCCATCATGGAGAAATCCAGGTTTTTCATAATCCATGTGATTGTGAATTATTAACAACAAAATTACGAATAAGAATAATGTCTTACTGTAACTTATACAGCATGTTAAAATGTGTAGGGTCTCCCGCGCGCCAGTTTACTTGATTGTTGGGTAATCACAGTGATTGTCCTGCACTAGGCAAGACTTGATCCGAACAGGGAAATGAACGCCTCTGCCCAACGATGAGTTCAGGATCCTCATGGCCCGGGAGGAAAGTAGTCCTACATGTTAAGGTTCCCCCCACCTTGGGTGACAGGTTTCCATTCTTTCTTTCTTTCATTTATATAAAATTCATTCATAAAAAAAAATAAGGATCTCCCTTAATGGCTGTGTATATTTCAACCATTCTTATGGCCAATGACAGTAGTCATGATGACGGCTAGTGGAACAGGTAAATGATGACTTTCGTGAAGATTTCAATCAACATTTGGATGTTAGTAATCACAATGTTCTTCAACTTGATGTTAGTTGGCGAATACGATTCCACAATCATTTAAATAGATGGTGTTTTCGTTGGTAATTCCACAATCAACAGCAATCTTAGTGGACCTAAAAATGATTGAATAAAATACTGTACTAGAAACATTCCAGTTTTTGTTTCTGGATAAAATCACAACCAACATTGGTATAGTCATCATGGCAGTGAAACGTTATTACATCTAATATTACATGCCTAACCAGTCACAAAACTTCCTACTGCACAACAACCCTGTTATAGAATGAAATCAATAAACTGTTACCCTGTCTAGAAAATGGTACGTTCCATCTCAATCCACACCAACATATGTATAGATACTGTCACATCAACACGTTTTAAACATGAAATTTAGGCGTAATAGTAGCAACATTTCGAAAAATATTTCATTAGAATTCTTTTATGTTCACTATTAAACACCTAGATACAGATATATAATGAAATACTTTAATGAATTATTCGACATTCTGACAAAACGTTGGTTTCGCCTAAACCATAGCGCTCACCTATCCTGGCTCAATGCAAAATGCGTCTATGGGGGAAACTAAAAACTCGCGCACTCCTTTCACATTTTCATTTTATGGTAATTTGTAACTCACGACGACCTTATTAAGTTCTTTAGAACACATCTTTAACTGAAAGGTCCACTGATTAATCTCAGATAACGTAGTATAATAAAAAGGGCTGCTATTTAACGGAAGGTTTTGGCTAAGCGACGTGTCACGCCAGGTGAGCCCACCGCAAGAATTCATTCATTCAAAAAGCAACAATATTGATTGTCCTTCATTATTATTTCCTATGGAAGTTCCAAAATCTAAAAATATCAACACACAACGTGTACCGTATGTAGTAGGTAGGCTACTAACACAGACCAAGCCCCAAAGAAATAAACGTTATCAAAAGGTAGGCTGACAGTTTCTTAACCATAAGGCTAGGTACCAGGGGCCATTTAAGGGCTACTGTCTAGGTTCGGTGACAGAAAATGTTGCTGCCATGATGAATCCCTCCTTTGGGACACCCCAATCCATGAGATACCCCTTAAGGGGACACTTTTACGTGGCAATAGACCTATAGGCCCACCTTTTAACACTACAGCCAACCCCTTAATGGGACACCCCTATTAAGGGGACGGAGATACTTCTTGAGTGTGCCACATGGTCAAATCAATACAGTTTTAACCCTATTAAGGGGACACTTTTTTTATTGTATTAATCAAATCAAATACAGTAGTCACAAACTAAGAAAAAAAAGTGTGTTATCCTGGTGTACTGAATTACACAAGTGCATATTTAGAAAAAAAAATCTGAGAAGAGGGCTTAAGAAAAACTTTAATACATTTTCTTTCCATTTTGTCTCCTCTTCCTTCATTTTTTTCTCCCTCTTTTTTTCGGGAGGCCATCCAACAATGCCCCTCCAACCTTTGGTGAGAAGGAAGTTATTGTACAAGCTAGTCCACACTACATAAATCCGTAACTACATTACATTAACACTCTTTAACTGCATTACATTACAAACTCTGTAACTGCATTACACTACGAACCAAAGAGTATAAATAGAACAAGAGAGCAAAGTCCCGTTCGTAAAAACGTCATGCCTGTGTAGGACGCCAACTAACGGTTGTATATCTGTCTCTTATACACAGCTAGATGTGTATAAGAGACAGCGGTTATAGGTGTAGACCCTTTAGCGGGTTAGTTAAGTTTAGTTTAGAAGATAGTTAAGTTAGATTAAGATAAGATAAGATTAGATCTAAGTAGACGAAGGACGGTAACAGACGCTGACAGACACGAGACGGCACGACGGCGCGAGGACTTGCAAGCGCATGTGCGATTTTTGTTTCAAAAAATAAAAATAAATAAAGGATAAAATAAAAAATAAATAAAGGTTTTATTGATTCAGGACTACACGATATAAATATTTCCGTGTATGTAGGAATGGGATGGTGTTTTCCATCATTTCCTCGCATGTGAATTTAATGTTATTTGGGGTTCGACTTGGTTTAGGTGTGATATCAGGGCCATGGTTTTCCCTTTAGGGATGACTGCCAAGACGTCATCAACATATCTTTTTTATAAACTAGGTTTCATATCTGTGCTAGTTGACTCAATCGCTTGTTCCTCTAGCTATTCCATAAACATAGTAGGCCAACTCACAACTACATGTTTTAGCTTCAGGGGAGAAATTTTCAAACAAAATTCAGGTATGGCTATGGGCAGCCCATGTTCACTACAGGTGCTAACCTCTTTATGGCCTACCGATTCGTGGAAAAGGCGTATCGTCCTATAAAACGTGTTTAAATTATTGTTACATTTAAAAGAAATATATGATTAATTTATGGATTTTATTACATAAAATTATGTCATCTTCAATCATCTTAAAAACACGCTCCCGAGACATTTATTAAAACATAATTGCTGCCCTCTATAATTACCGATTACCTAAAGCGTTAAGGGACTATTTCCTATCGATTTGAAACTGAGATTTGAGTAAATAATAATTATTTAAGTACTTTCTCAATCAACTAGTTTAAACTCCATTGTAGTTAGTTAAAAAGCTCAATCATCGCTTCCCTTTCTAAATTTCAAAATTGTAATACTTTTATGAGTGTAATTTAATATAATCAGCATGTGTAGCATTCAATAAGTATCACAATTTTGACTACATTTAATGTGAATAAAATATATTAATTAACTACAATTAATTTTAAAAAAATCAGAATATTATCATACTTATAGGCGCGAATTATCATATTAGGTTTTTTGGGAGAGCTACTAAGATAGTAATGTTTATATAATTAGAATGTTTATTTGTACAAAAAAAAAAACATTATTTAGAATTATCATTTGTACAAAATTAAAAAATAAATAAATTGGGAAAAAAATTGAACACCAAGACGCGTTTCGAACTCACGACCTTAAGCTCTTCGGAACACATCCTTAATTAACCGACCGGCCCATTTATGCGACGTGCCTATTAGTGGTAATGGCAATAATGTACAGTAAGTTTTAAATAAATATAGGGCCTAAAAACATTATTTCAGAATAATCATTTGTACAAAGTTAAAATACTTAAGATTGGAAAAAAAAAACTTTCTTAAAATTAGATAGAAAAAAATATGAATACCAAGACGCGTTTCGAACTCACGACGACCTTATTAAGTTCTTTAGAACACATCCTTAACCGAAAGTCGCGAGTTCGAATCTCACCTCGGTGTTAATTTTATTTTTAAATGAACATGAGATGAGACAAAATGGAAAAAAAAAAAAAAAAAAAAAACGCGATTCAAAGGGGCCATTTAAGGGCTACTGTCTAGGTTCGGTGACAGAAAATGTTGCTGCCATGATGAATCCCTCCTTTGGGACACCCCAATCCATGGGATACCCCTTAAGGGGACACTTTTACGTGGCAATAGACCTATAGGCCCACCTTTTAACACTACAGCCAACCCCTTAATGGGACACCCCTATTAAGGGGACGGAGATACTTCTTGAGTGTGCCACATGGTCAAATCAATACAGTTTTAACCCTATTAAGGGGACACTTTTTTTTATTGTATTAATCAAATCAAATACAGTAGTCACAAACTAAGAAAAAAAAATCATTTAAATTAATATTTGGACACATATTGAGCAATAAACTTAAAATCAAACCAGAATTTTTCCATCCTTAGAATGGGCATTAGATGCCTAGAGCATAGGTTTCGCATAAATAAAATCTTTAAACAAGCTCTCTCTATATAGGCCTAGAGAGGGAGCAACCCTCTGATTTCGGATGTTTTGCGAACTATACGCGAAAACTCCAAAATCGGAGTTTTCCTCTCTCTATATAGAGAGAGCTTGTTTAATTATTAGTACCAAGAAACTCTGAAATCGGAGGTTTTAATAAAAGTTTTGAAAACTCCGATTTTGGATTTTCTGTCAGAGTTTTGACGGCGGGTGTAGACACTCTAAAAATGGAGTAACTAAATACCTACATGGAGGGACATTTTGCCACCCTAATGTGCTTTAGTAATTCTGTCATGTTTAGACTATAGAGCACTGCATTTTACGTAATTTAAGTCATCTAATTAGGTTCCATTTATTTTCTAAACAAATACAGACCCAGCAAAATGGTGGCGATCATCCCAAACTTCATGCCGTTGTGCATTTTACTTGGATCTGATATTCCACTAACAAGTGGCGTGGAAGGAATTGAAGAGAATCATGTTATAAGTTGGCTTAGGAACGGCGAGGAGATTACTCGAGGTGAAGAAATATTGGCATACGATCACTGCAGCGAGCATTTAGTTCATCAAGTACAGCCCAATGGGATGGTTACAATTAATATAAGAGATGCGAAATTAAGTGATGGAGGGACGTACTCGATTAGAGTATACGAACGACGCCAAGACGGAACTCTGCAGCAGATCGCGCAAGAAGAAGTTGCGTTTGTGAACGTAGGTGAATGCAACGACGAAAACCCGAGAATGGACATTGTACTGGAAAACCGACAGCTTAACGATGGTTATGGTATAAAGATGTTGTGCTGCAGGGGTGGCGCCAGCGGGGAGGGGGTGCGGGGGCCTGGGCCACCCGTCGTGGAGAGCTCCCCCTCCTCCGTCGTGGAGAGCTTCCCCCCGTCGGGAAGAAAAAAGTAACCATAAAAACAATGAATTGCATTCCGTCATCGATTATGTGTACAGAAAATATTGCTGACCTTGCCAACATAAGACTACGCCTATATCAGCTAAGTTTTTCTTTTGTGAATTGTAATTTCTTTTTTTTTCTGTTTTTATTCAAAAACTTACAAAAGGTTAAAATTACTACCATGGTTTATGGTTATTAATTGAAGCCATATCCTGAGAATCTGTGATCAAATGTACGGTAACGTATCATTATTAGTGCTGGACCACACCTTTAACCGGAAGACGCTTAAACTGTTAGTACACCGTAATCAATGATTGTGCACCCCTCAAGAACAATATACTTATTATGACTTGAGATAAAAAATGAACTATTATTTTACATAACGTTTACAAAAGTGGACAAAAGTTGGCCTGGGGTCTGACCCAGTCCCCGATGACCCGATGATCTTGCATACCTTTTATAACGATTTCAGTGGTATAACAAACATTAAGGGAGGTGGGGGAATCAAACTTTCTAGCAAATTCGGGTAAAATCTTCTGTTGCTGGCTCTCACACTATTACACTCAAATGGATATTTATTATTATATTATATCGGGAAAACCATAGCTGGCAACTGCTTACGCAATAAAAACAAGAACAATGCAATGCATTCCGTCATCAATTATCATTTCCTTTATGAAGGAAAACTCATAATAATGTATACTAGTACAAACGCAGACTAAGCTACAAGTAGATACAGTACAACCGTTATCAAAAGGTAGGCCAAACAGTTAGAGTTACCGTCTTGGTCAATGTACAGAAAATGCTGCTGGCAGTGACAAAAAAAAAATTGTAAGCCACAGTAATAATTCCGAGGCATAAATATATTTGGTGTCTCTTTTCACTTAACTAAAACAATTTGGGTGGGGTCTCTGTCATTGTAGAAGTGATATCCAACAATTTTATTAAAGCTATGCTCCGGAAAGAAAAAATGATTTTTTTAAGACTCAAAAAGGGTATTTTTCGGGAACGGTTAATGAGATACAGATTTTTGAATATTTAATAACTGGGGGAAAAGTGGCGTAACTACCCTCTTTTACACCTTTGTCCCAAATATTTAAATTTTTAAAAATATGTATCTCATTAACCGTTCCAGAGTTTTTCATACTCAGGCCTAAAATTTAAGAGAACTGCATATTAACGTAATTTAAGTAATTTGAGTTATCAAAATTTAGTTGCTTTTTCTTCTTACAGATCAAGCTAGCAAAATGGTGGCGATCATTTCAGACTTTAAACCATTGTGCGTTTTACTTGAATCTGATGTTTCAATCCTATGTCGCGTAGAAGGAAATGGTGAGAATCATGTTATAAGTTGGCTAAGGGACGACGAGGAGATTATTCGAGGTGAAGAAATATTGGCAGACGATCACTGTAGCGAGCGTTTAGTTCATCAGGTACAACCGAATGGGATGGTTACGCTTAATATACGAGATGCGCAATCAAGTGACGAAGGGACATATGCGATCAGAGTATACAAAAGACGCCAAGACGGAGCTCTACACCAAGTTACACAAAAAGTCGTTGCGTCCTTGGACGTTAATGGTGGCGATGTTGGAGAGAATACATATATACAGTGTTCTCGTAAAGAACCACCTTTGTATCTCGCGGTCAGCTTCTGTCTCGCGGCCAGCTTCTGTCTCGCGGTCAGCTTCTGGACAGCGAGAATATAATAATATTATTATTATTATTATTATTATTATTATTATTATTATTATTATTGTTATTATTATTATTATTATTATTATTGTCATTCTTTCGCAATTTTTACTTCCCGACAATATTAGCCTCATTTTTACCGTATTTAATCGTTGTACACTTTCATGTTTATAATTGGTTTATTATTTCGCGTTTTTTACTTTTATGACAAAAAAATTGTTTTGCCTCATGTATTTTTAAGTTTTACTTTTATGACAAAATGAGCCTTATTTTTACCGTATTAGTCGTGTACACTTTGTTTATAATTGGTTTTATGTAGGGCCACATTGAATTCTTAAAGAAAACTTTCATAGACCATTTTGGTTTTTTGCCGTTTTCACTTTGGCCTATTGCCGTTTTGGTCTTGCCGTTTTGATTTATTGCCGTTCTCGTTTTGGACTCACCAATTAAGCTAGCCTTCAGCTACATCAAGCTAGCCAACAATCTGCCAGCCAACAACAAGCCAGCCCACAATTCCAGCCAA